ATTTAGAACATTCATGGTAACAACTATTTAGAACATTCATGGTAACAACCATTTAGAACATTCATGGTAACAACCATTTCGAACATTCATGGTAACAACCATTTAGAACATTCATGGTAACAACCATTTCGAACATTCATGGTAACAACCATTTAGGACATTCATGGTAACAACCATTTAGGTACGTAATGAGATCTTTGCGGAATATTATAATGTGAAAAATGCAACATTCTGATTTCATTTGTAAACTTTTGCTTTTACAAAGACTATCGGAATGTCATATGCATTTTAACATAAATTTTATTGTGCTAAGTCTTTGATCTGCATCTCTTTCCGAATTCATTAATTAATTTAATTAATTACGAACAAATAGTTTGTTACCATGAATGTTCGACAGACGTAGAGAGGTTTTTGTATTGCGCAGAGACCTAACTAACTTTCATCTTACAGATTCTTGGACTTCTTTAGCCTTTAATGCGTACAGATGTTACGTCTGAGAATGTTCAGAATGTGCCACATTTCTCAAAACCTTCAAGTATATGGATTACTCACTGCTTATTATTGAATACGTAAACGATATTATTACCTCAATGCTCCCATTGTCTTAATTTTACTTTATTAGCATGATAGTATTAATTGCGAGTTTCTGGCTACGATAAAGAAACTAACTTACTAATTATTTTCTTTTCTGTCTTAATTCTCTGAAGATGTTTTTATAGGTATAAAAAAGAAACGATAATTTTTCAATAATTCATAAACGCATATTCAACATGTAATGTGTAACTCTTATTCCTTCCAGCTTTACTTCTTATAGTGTAAAAGCGAATTCTTCACTTGCCTACGCATACTTTATGAATCTTCACAAATCTTCTTCATATCTACAGGCATAGATGCGTATATCTATAGGCTATGTAAATTGTCAAGAATTCAAGGCAAATATTTTTTCATTTGCCATACTTACTCAGCAAATCACTGGAATTGAAGTCGTTCGGACGAAAAAAACTCCATAAATTACCTTATTAGAAAACGAATTAAGTGTAGATACACACTACACAAAAAACAGGAAAAAGTGATAGGAAGCGAAGAGAAATGTAAACATTTGACAAGTTGAAACAGTATCACATACAATATACTTTAATATTGTAAATTAAGTATACTGATAATTTTTAGATTTATTTCTGCCTGAAAGTGCTCTTTACATACTACGTAAATTTTGTCTTTAAAAATCACGTGAATAAGACCAGGAAGATTAACAGAACGATAATGCGTTTTGCTAATTGGAAAACTTTTAAAAAAATTGCATCTGAATTAAGTCACGTGACATAGCAATTCCTCTTATCACAAATAAATATTGGTATTGCTCTTTTTTTCGTGAATTTTTCAAGCTCAAAAACTTTGACAAGTTAAGTGCTAGTATTTTTGAAAATTAGATCGAAGATGATAACTGGGTCCACCACACTGATGCCAGAGCTGTTCAAATTCAACAGCTGATATTTCTGCCCCTTTTTTCCTTGTTAACTGTGTAGCATCCAAAGATAATTCACACATTTCCAAATCATCACGACCTAAATAGATGTATATCTTGATAGGGTAGTAAATAACACTTGCACGTAATAAAGTCACAATCTCGAAGATCTTTTAAAACATTTAAAAAGTAGCGTCCCGTAATAAAGGAAACGATGCAGGAACGAGTAAATAACCTGCAACAAGTAATAAAGGCCTCTTATTAGGATGTAATTCCATTTGACGGGCGATCCACTGTCCATCAAAATGGGCATACCACATACCATACGAAGTTGCGACTTTTGAAATATCTTTAATAGTGAGAATTAACATCTTAATGTTTTTTTCGCAAAAATTATGAATGCTACTGTCAAGAATTTGTGCAGTTTTAAGTTTTTGGCTAATGCATTCAAATTGGCAAAACTATTTTTGATCAGTAGTATGCATTCCATCAACATTAAAAAGAATTGCAAAGCAAAAAAATATGGAAACAAACCACACATATCCATATGTCCATGAGCAGGTTTCGCAAATGGTACTTTGAAATATCGCTGAATATTAGTGTCATTGCGCTGTATGTTTGGTGCAAAACTTCGGCTACCTATAAAAAATTGGAAAAATACTTGAAAAGATTCATTGAAAACAAATTTTTTGTGATAAAAAGTTAGCTTTGGTGCAAAATGTGTTTGTCGAAAAGAAACTTTTTATCAGTCATACTTTTTTGTAGCTGAATTTTCTTCTATAATCATTTTGAATTTGGCCTCATTTATAACTTGACCTGCCAAGTTCTCAAGAAAGTTCTCAGATACACATCAGTAGCATATTAATGACGATGTACTAATAAATTAACAAATACTTGCGGCAAGCAATGCCATCGGTAAACGACAAGTATTGTCATTGTTTTGACGACTTTGATTCCGATTCTTCCACTGTTGATAAATTTGCAAACGCCTATGAAACTCTTCTTTGCAAGCAAGTAGCAAAGCTGTATCTGAAAGCTGATTTTTTTTAGAGAATCTTAAATCAGGTGTTTTAGTGTAATACTCTTCTTTATGCTTATGCTATTCGTAGTAATTATATCGAATGATATTAGAAATTTATAAAAGAATACTTGCAAAAACGTCTTTTTCTGCATCTCTGACCTAAAGTAAGCTTACGTCCCACGTTAACATGAATGACGCTGAATCTTTAATTCTTTATTAAGTCGTTAAAGTTTTTCTTCAATATTTTTGCGTAATTTATGAAAACATAAACATAGTCTTTTCCCATTATGGATCATAAATGATTTCGCAGAAGTAGAAAAAAACTTTTTAAATATTTTAAATAGTTTGATTCGCTGAAATAATTCATAAAACGTAGAATGTAGCGCTTTTGATGCACTTAAAAATGAAATTTGTAGCATAAATAAACTACCAGTAGAAGTGTTGATGATGTCCCTCAGTTCTACATACTTGAATCCTGTTAAGTCGTATTTGGATCCGTTACTGACATTCATCCCTTTCACGCTGCAATTTTTTTCAGATTATCTTACATGAAAGTTAAAGGCGATTAATTTCTTGACATTTTTTAAAGTTTGTTATTAAAAGCTAACTGTATTATTTTCAATATCATTTAAAAATATGGTACCGAATTTGATTAATTCATTATCTTCATCCTTTCAGTCTAAGTGTTTCAAACAGTTAATCATCCAAGTGGATTAATTTATTAATTTTTGAAACTTATGCATATATTTAGCGAGAAATACCAAATTTAAGCATTGACATTACTCCACAAACAAATGAAATGAGATTGAAGTTTGTATATTAAAGCTGTTCAATTGCCTTGACTTTATATTAAGAAAGGTAATTGAATTGGTAATGAACGAAATAAAAGATTAAGTCAATAATTAATGATTATGAATATGAAAATAAGAGAGAAAGAGTGAAAGGATTCTAACGAATTAAGATTATCCGCCTCCAGCATATGCAAGCTGTGATCTTCCTGGGCGAGCCTTCGAGCAATTTCGCTGTCGAGTTTTTCTTGTTTCAGCCTTTCATCTCTGAATCCAGTTCACGACTTTACAACCTTTCAGTTTAAAATGATCAAGTTATTAAGTCACAAAAAAGCATACCGTTGCCGATTAAGGGCTTCCATCCGTGCCTGTTGCATCTGAAGGACTTCTTGTTCTTCACGGTTCTCTTCTTGCTCTCTTTTGCGATTTTCTGCCATTTCCACTCTCCTTGAAAAAGTAACTTTCAAACTACACACACACACACAACTATTCATTCAATAACAATTCATGGCTAAAGCCCACTTTGCACGTTCTTGACGCAAT